GGATTTTTGCCCGCGTTTTTCTGGAGGGTCTAATTGTTCATTATGCAATGTGAGGGAGCGTGCCTGGTGCGGCCGCACCTCGTGCTGTCCCATAGTCAGCATGGCAAAGTTAGCGGCTATTGCTAACTGCCTTCTATTTCAGAGTAAGCTCTGTATTATGAACATCAAACCACCAATAACAAAACTAGGCAAGAATATATGCACTTACATTTTCATGCACGCACACATGTCCACAACACACAAATTGAACAACACTCCCGATTGTCCATCGCTACTGGTGTCCTGGCGATCTTGTTATGACAATAAGTGCACGTTAGCGCTGCACTGTGGTTGACACCATTCGGGCTTATGCTAGGGGGTGCAAGGAATAGTCCAAGTAATGGGGGTGTTTTATACAGTAACCCTATATCGAAATCGATCAAATGTAAATTTTTGAATACATTTTCAGTGTCTATTCCTTGTATATTCACTGCAGTTATTCATGTTTACCAGTATTATGAGTAATTGTTTACAACTTAAAAGGGAGTTAAATAAAATGTGGTCAAGTATAGAACAATATAATGAAGTTAATTAATGTATACCTGAGTATTAATAATGTATCCATTCTTTTATTTGTAATATTATTATTATTTTATTTCGGATTTGTCAACTTTTCCATAGTTAATCTATGTACCTAGATGTGTTTATTGTGTTCTGTATGCTTTGTGAATATTTTCTTAAAATGCATTGTGTTAATGTGCAAGCAGTTAAAACAGAGAACCACAGTAAAGGGAGGATAAACGAGCACAAGGAGGGGTTAAACATTTTCAATTTAAAACCAGAGCAGGTTACTTCCTCCAGCAGCGGACGCCATGCACCGCCCACACCCCCCCCAGCAGGAGGAGGAGGAGCACCTTGGCCCCCAGAGGCAGGGACAGCAGGAGCAGCAGGGGAGTAGAGGCCCCGCCCACATGGGGTCGGGGGGGCAGCACGTACAGGACGGCCTGGTCCTTGCCCAGTGGATTTGAGGCGCTGCAGGTGTACTGCTGCCCCGGGGACACGTCCCTCAGCTGGCTCACCGTTTGGAAACACTCCCTGGAGCCTTGAGCCAGGGGGTGGGACCCCTCCAGCATGGCCCCCTCCAGCATGGCCCCCTCCAGCATGGACCCCTCGGTACCCAGCCACTGGACGTCCGGCGGCGGGGAACCCTGCACCCGACACAGGGCGGTGAACCCAGACTGCTCGCTGCCCTCCGCCCACAGAGAGAGGATCTTAGGAGGAGCTGCAGGAGAGAGGGAGAGGGGGCTGTCAAGGTTTGGCAAGATTGCGGACCCAAAAGCACAAGGAGGCAGGTAAGGGGATGTCAATTAAAGCGAGTGTCTAATTACTAAAATACAAAGCTGTTTCAATACAAAAGCGACCAACCCAGTCTCACAAAACAACGTGTAACAGCTATGTTGGTCCACACGGCAGAACGTAGTATGTTCACAAATAACCATCTCAAGACGTGACATGGATACAGTATTGTTGTCCTATTCGTTTCTAATGACCAGTGTCCAGTGTCCATGTCACGTGATCACAAACTTTCCCAGTGAGAAAAAAGAACATTGGCAGACACCCAAATTATATTTAGTGGAAAATCCTAAATTGTAGAATACTTTGTCCGTTAAAATGCTTTTTGATTGCATTTCTAGCGAGCAGTGTATATTGTACTTGTAGAATCCACGTCCAGTGGATGTGTAGGATCCAAACTTTGATAGATATTACGAAGATTATTTGAGCTCCATGTTTTTACAAAATATTGTATCCATGTCACGTCTTGAGAGGGTTATTTGTGAAGATACTACGTTTTGCCCTGTGGACAAACGTAGCTATTACACGTTGTGTTGTGAGAGTGGGTTGAAACGACAGGAGCAGGCAAGGGGGAACAAAAGAGAAAGTTGCAAACAAACAAACCGGGACCACAGGAGGGCGGAACAGGGAAATCCAGAACACCGGGAACAGGAACCAAACCACCATAAAACGACGACGAACTGACAAGGGACACAAGGGCAAGCAAGACTAAACACACAAGACAAGACACAGCTGGAGAGGGCAGGTGAAACACAGGGGGGGGCCGCAGGGGAACACAATCAGACAATCACACAGGAGGGAACACACAGAGAGGAAGCAAATACAGACATGACAGACAGGGAGTGAACATCCTTCAAAGAAAAACAGGAAGCCGACAGTCCTTGATAATTAAAAAAAAAAAAATTAAATTTAAAAAACAGATCCTAACAGGGGCAAGGTTTTAATACCCAACATGCCAAGACATGTCTTACTGTAGAGCTGAAAGACAACCTTTAAAGAGGCCCTATTCTGCATTGTGGGGGTCTTCCCTCTCCTGCAGTGTTCTATAGGTGTTAGTGCATGTAAATGGTCTGCAGAGACTAAAATCCCTGTGTTCTTTATTATGTGCTCTGTAAACGTACCCTCCACTCTGAGCCGGGTCCCTATCTTGTCCTCGAAGCTGACGTGGTCCCGGCCCTGCACCTCCACCCGGCAGTAGTAGCGCCCGCTGTCCTGCAGGGCGGCGCTGTTGATCCTCAGCGACAGGTCGTGCTCCCGCGGGTTCCCCTCCAGCCGGTACCGCTGGTCCTGCTGGGGGCCCGGCTCGCAGCTGGGGGCCCCTGTCCGGCTGGTGCAGCGGAACAGGACGGAGGCGCCCTGCCCGTGGCCCAGACGCCACAGCAGCTGCAGAGATGTATGCTGGGAGTGCTGCGGGTGGCTGAAGGTGCAGGGCAGCACCACGGGGTAACCCTCCAGGGCCCGGACCTCCGGCTGCACCGTCATCGACCAGCCGTCGTCTCCGGAGCCCAGCGCTGCAATTGGTTGATTGTTAAAGTCTCAGTTCTCTGATTGGTGAAAGGACATATTCATCACTTTTGTTTGGAAATACTGAATGTTCCTTCTGTATCAGAGTAGCACATGATAACAGAGGCCCTACGTAGCTGTGTACGTAGCCGGATGTCTGACTACATGCTCATGAGACACTGTGTTGAAGTCATGATAGCTATGTTCCTAAGATTGGCACGATGACACAGCCCTGCCTAGAGAGATAGACATATGACTGTCATGTGTATTGCTTACGCAGGCCTAGCTAATCTGAACTAATGTCAGAATACTGCTCTGAACCGGTATTCCTCCATCTTGTTTACTGTAACTCCCTCTCTTGTATATAGGAATATCAAGGACTCTACTAAAGGAACTATTTTGTCCCACGCAGCTCTGTGTGTGATGACTACTTCCATTCTTGCAAAGATAATAAATACATGTATCCTGATATTGAGGTGATATTTTTCTAAGAACTTTTGTGTCTTAATAAACTCAATATAATCTGTGATTTTAACATTAAATTAAATGTAATGTGTGCAACTAGACTGCTGTTGGTGTTTTTAAATGTTCTGTGTCGTAGAGCCGATGAATGGGAGTCGGAGGCGGTGTGTTCAATATGGAACTCTTTATTTTCTATTTAGAACGTACTAGCTGCATGCTACTGTGAAGCTGGAATGCTAACAACAGGAAACCGGAACACCAAGATGCCACCCACTAACTGGTCCGTGGGGCAACACTATGTCGCGTTGCCCACCCACAACAATACAACGGTGAATTATGTCCCTTAATGCTCCGCCACAGTGTAAATATTATAATATTAACACTGACAAACGTGCTTATTTCAGGTAAAATGACATGTAAAATAAATCATCATCATGGTCATCGACCAGCTGTCGTCTCCGGAGCCCAGCGCTGCGAGGTTAAACGCCAACACTTTACAGGCAATAAACAAACGTGGTGCAATAATGAGTCCAAAAACCTTGAC